GAAAGAGAAAAAGCCTATTTTCAACATCACATTCCTGTGTTTTCCCTCAGCCTGGAAAACATATCAATCCCAGTGCCTTTCTGCTCGGAAACAAAGGGACTAAGCCAGACTGTGGGGGAAAGGGTGATAAGAAGGATCCTGGAACTCTAAAGAGAGCAAAGAGGGAGACGCAGGGGTTTCCTGACTGTCCGCACAGGGATTGGCACACACAGACACAAGACCCAGCAGAAACGACAGAAAAATGGAGATGCAAAGACGTAAAAGGACAGCTCCTGTCACCTCATCCTACCTGTCAAGAAGGTAAAGAGACAGCCTGAGAGAAAAGAAGAGAGCCGCTGAGCCCTCAGGTCAGGACAGGCGACCGGAGCTGGAGCTGCAGCACGCCCCAGCCTCGCGAAGGAGACAGAGGGTTGGGAGGAAAAGCATTTCATCTAGGAAACTGTCCTGGGACCACACTTCAGATTGCGCTTTAAACCCCCGGCATTCCATCTCCATGAGCCACAGTGTAAGTGTACAATCCTTTCTGTCTTTGGTGTGATTGTTTCTTTGTTGCTTGTTTGAAGAAATGAAATGAGACTCTTGTCATAATTAATGTGCTCGGTGTGCATTTTCTCTGGAGGATCAGAGAGTCAGATGAAAGGGTGTGAGCACGCCGAATGGGGCACCGAGTTGGGTTTCCTGCTCAATGTAACTGTCTCTGCTCAGTGCTGACAAATTATAGGGGCTTACAAGTAACTGGATCTCAATCCTATTTTCCATTCCCTGACCTCCCTCCTTATTCTTCTCTAACCACCCCTTCCCGTCCCCCAGTCTTTGGCCAAATTGGAGAAAGGGAAAATGCTCAGCTGTTTGCAATTAAATAATTTTCTTTCTCTTCTCCCCTTCCTCTCCCCTGTTGTCTTTGACCTCGCTGCCTCTCAAAGTGGATTGCACAATGACATGGAGAATGGGACCCAGTTTCACCATGCTGGTGGCCATGTGGCTGGTGTGTGGGTCAGAACCCCACCCCCAGGCGATGAATGGAGCAGGCCATGGAGGACAGAAAGCGCCTCTGGTCCCCGCAGTCCACAGAAGGCCCGCTCGGCTGCTGAGGCACACGGGGAGGTCTCAGGGAATGGAGAGAACCGCGCCGGGAGAAGGACACCTTCAGCCTCTCCAAAGAGGGCGCAGCATGCCGGTGCTGAGAATAGCTCACGAGAAGGCCCCGCCGGCCCCGCTGGACATCCATGGGGCCCGGGGGAGATCGGAGAGGAGACCAGCAGCCCGGGCTTCTCCCCGCGAGATGGTCCGAGATGAGGGGTCCTCGGCTCGGTCCAGAATGCTGCGCTTCCCCTCGGGGTCCAGCTCGCCCAACATCCTGGCCAGCTTCGCGGGGAAGAATCGCGTGTGGGTCATCTCGGCCCCCCACGCCTCGGAGGGCTACTACCGCCTGATGATGAGCCTCCTGAAGGACGACGTGTACTGCGAGCTGGCGGAGCGGCACATCCAGCAGATCGTGCTGTTCCACCAGGCGGGCGAGGAGGGCGGCAAGGTGCGCAGGATCACCAGTGAGGGCCGCGTGCTGGAGCAGCCGCTGGACCCCGGCCTCATCCCCAAGCTCATGAGCTTCCTGAAGCTGGAGAGGGGCAAGTTCGGCATGGTGCTGCTGAAGAAGACGCTGCAGGTGGAGGAGCGCTACCCGTACCCCGTCCGGCTGGAGGCCATGTACGAGGTCATCGACCAGGGCCCCATCCGCAGGATCGAGAAGGTCCGGCAGAAGGGCTTCGTGCAGAAGTGCAAGGCCTCGGGGGTGGAGGGCCAGGTGGTGGAGGAGGGGATGGGCGGCGTGGGCGCGGGGCGGCCGGGCCCGAACAGCGAGAAGAGGAAGGAGGACCTGAGGAGGGCGCACGTGCCACCCACCAGGGACACTCG